AGTCCGTTAACGCGGTGGCTGAATCTGCACACCGCGCAGGTCTGTCTTCACTCGAGTCAGAGGGGGCCTAAGAATGCGGTAGGTACTGGTGGTTAAAAAAAAGGGAAGACTAAACTTGTATTACTCAAAGCCCGAAACCAGAAAAAGAGACAAAAAAAAAACAAAAAAAAACGGACACTGTGTCCAGCGTACATATGCTCTATTGTTTTAGTTGTAATTAGGAGTTTTTTTTTTTTTTTTTTTTTAATGATTTAAAGAAAGAATAAATACAAGTCTTTATAAAAGCCGGGAACCGGGCCCAGCGTCCCTTACAAAATTAGGTGGGGCCCTCAGCGGGCAAGGCATCAGCGGACAAGCACATAGAGGGCACCACTAAATTTCACCCAACAGTCAACTCCACAACCAACTCAACAGCCCCTACCACTAAAAAATCAACGAAAATTATCATTGAAAAAAATAATAAGTTCTAATCACAAAAGTCGTGACAACCCTAATTTAGTGACCCAAATTCCACCAACCATGAAAAGAAAACCATACGCAGAAGGCAATCAAAACCACAGAAAAGAACCAATGGTCAGCGCTACTTGATCATGTCCTCTATTCCTGTCTCTTATACACATCTAGATGTGTATAAGAGACAGGCCATGTGACGCGGTAGGTACTGGTGGTTAAAAAAAAGGGAAGACTAAACTTGTATTACTCAAAGCCCGAAACCAGAAAAAGAGACAAAAAAAAAACAAAAAAAAACGGACACTGTGTCCAGCGTACATATGCTCTATTTTTTTAGTTGGAACTAGGAGGTTTTTTTTTTTTTTTTTTTTTTTTAAAAAAAAAAAATTTTTTATAAAACCGGGAAACGGGCCCGACGTCCCTCACATGAATTCGGTAGCCAGAGCAGGCTGGGAAAGGCACTTTAGGCCAGTCTCATCCCCAACCACGGACCTCCCAGTGTGATGACGCCTGTCTTCAGCCCACCCCGTGCAAATCTCTAGTAGCTAACCCTAGTCTATGTTAATACTAACGTAGAATTTAATCCTATTCCAATATATCGCTTAATTATATATTATCAAAACAACTACACAAATTCCTGCCTACTCCCTGATACAATTACCGTAATCATCCCTAACCCTAAATTATCTACAAAACAACAGCCGTAATCATGACTAATTCCCAACACAATTTAAATTCCTAATTAAGGACTAATTAACCAAAACCTAAAAATCGTCAAGAAGTGTAAATCACCGCAAAAATTAAACCCAATTTCGAGCAAAGCAGATTTCCAGTAAACCGAATGTCCCACTCTCTCGGATCCATCAGCCAAAGGGAGCTCCAGCAGAAGAAAATAGTCCAAAATAACATTCCTAACCCTAAACCCAAAAAACATCGAAGTGTAAATCACCTCAAAAATTAAACCCTATTTCGAACTAAACAGGTTTCCAATAAGCAGAATGCCCTACTCTCTCCGAGCCAACAGCCAAAGAGGATTTCAGTCAAAAGACGACAAAGGGAGGCAAGCCTACTGTGGCTGCAGCAGGAGAAGATTGTCCAACATGACATGCTTGATGGGGGACAACATCAAGCCTGTCATTCTAGATGATCCCCAGGATATCCACACTACCAAATCAGCAGCGGTGCCATTGCAATCGTACAAGGAACCTGTGAATTACGACAGCAGCAGAAATCGCAAATGAAAGAATCACAAACAGCTGGTCGCAATAGTTCAGTCCCGGTCAACCACATGTCTGCCACGTGGCAGGATCATGGCAACAGCAGAAAGTTTCATAACCTCGTACCACACCAGTTTGTCTTCTCGCCAATCAACAGCAAACCACTCTTCATCCTCTCCTTCACGCCGAAGATTCCCACGATCAATATAGGGAGAGTAGCCGACAAGTCTGATGCAGCAGCGATGTATTCATGGAGGCTCCATATCTGTGACCAAGGCGAATGCCCTGACCTGTTCATAATATTGATATGAGGGGCGTCGTCCAAATCCCACCCATGCCTGCCAACCTGGCAAGGGGGAGGGATCATGAGAGGGACAATGACAACGCTATTCGGTCGCAGGGGAGTTACCCTCCCCTCATACTCCCGGCGTCCGTAGTGTTAAAAATTCAGAGCCGGTGAAACCGCAGTGCAATGCTAACGCTGCGTTAACACAGCGCTAACACAGCTCGGCTCCCCTGCTGAACTCTTGGAGTTTTTTTATTAGTGGTAAAAAAGTTTTTTTTTTTTTTCTGTTTACTTTTAGTTTTTACTATTGACGCTTCATTGATTGTGCAGCAGAATGTGCAGTTGACAGACTGCAGCATACCTTTTTTTTTTTT